GAGCCTCTGCGTTGATGCTGGCCAAATTAACCTGAGATTCTAGCCACCCTGAGGCTGGAGAGCCACCCCAGGTGGTGCGACCGGGGTCCCGGAAAGTGACAGTCCCAGAGGAGGATCCCTGCCCGGAGTCCTGGGGGAGCCGGCGGGACTGAGGACAGCCTCAGGCAGCGGTCCTGCTGCTGGCGGCCGGCAAGGGCCCCACGCTGGCAGACGGGGGCTGCGCCACAACAGGTATCTGCGGATCTGGAAAAGAAGAGCTGCAGATCAGGGGCTCAGCCCCACCTCCTGGTGCAGGCGAGCAGGGATCTGGGACACCCCAACACCCCCCTGAAGGCTCCCACAGACCCTGGCTCCCAAACCAGCCATGCAGCAGTGCCCCCCGTCCCACGGAAACCTGCAAAGTGACCCAGTGGCAGTCCCCGCAGGCACCAGTATGGCCAGTGGCCCGGGGACGAAGCCAGCCTGGAGCCAGCTGCTCTCCCCGCACTCCTGGAGGATGTGGGTACAAGCGTCTTTTGGCCACAGACCTTCGAAGGGCTTCAAGGGGCCCTAGGGAAAATGAGGAAGGAGAAGGCACCCCCATGGCCTGTGTGGTGGCCCCCTCCACTGCTGTCACCAGCCCTGGTCCGGACAAGAGACACCGAGGGCTGACAGATAAGCGAGAGCCGCAGCTAAGTCTGATCCGAGCCTTGAGCCGGAGCTCCATCCCCCACGCAAGATAAGATGGGGGGGGCCTCCTCCGGAGCCCCTCACAAGACAGGGCCGGGTGGGCTGGAGACACACAGACAGATCAACTCACCGCTGTCCTCCGCACGCATCTGCGCCTCCAGGTCCTTGGGGTCGACGTACTTGTAGGGCTCGTCCTCCTTCGGGGGGCAGCACGCCCCGCAGCAGAAGAAGCAGCAACAGCAGCAGCAGCAGCAGGTGAGAGCACTGCAGCACAGAGCCAGGGCCTGCAGGGGAGGAGACGGCAGCCCCCGTGAGACCCCAGAGCCCCACCAGCAGCCGAGCCCCCCTCGCAGCAGCGCCGGCACTGCCCAGTGCGGAGGACGGGCTGGGCTCACCTGGAACCACCACTTGGACATGAGGAAGTAGTGCTTGACGGCATCGTCCCCGAACTGCTCGGCCACGTAGAGCCCCAGGGAGCCGTACTGGTCGTAGAGGCGACGCTTGTCCTCGTCGCTCAGCGTGGCGTGGGCGCTGTTGATCTCCTTGAAGCGCTCGGCCGCCGCCGGGTCATCGGGGTTCTTGTCCGGGTGGTACTTGAGCGCCAGCTTCCTGCAGGGCACGGCGGGGAGAGCGGGACGGGGACGGGACATCATTATGGGGACGGGACATTAGGGGGACAGGAGGGGCACAGGGACGGGAACGGGGATGGGGATGGGGACAGGAGGGGAACGGGGACAGGAATGGGGACGGGGACAGGGACAGGACGGGGACGGGAATGGGGACGGGGACAGGACGGGAATGAGGACGGGGACAGGA